AGCGTAAATGGGAATGTCAGAAGGTAAAAAGACCAGACTAAGCGTGAAGGGGAATGTTAGAAGGTAAAAAGACCAGACTAAGCGTGAGGGGGAGTGTTAGAGTAATTAAATATTAAATCATGCATTCATTTAATAGCTTAAGCTTTTAGAATAGTTGGCAATGATCCCACCAAAATCTCACACTATTGTATTGATTTGATATTTAGTTGGTTGAGTTTTGGGGAAGATATTGATCTCGAACAAGTTTAAGTTATTAGTGAATTGTTGTCTTTTTTCCCCAACAAAGTGGCATTAGAGCTACCATTCATGGAGGAAACCGACGTCACCAGGTTTAAGTTATATGCCTCAACTTAAACTATTTAGAAGCCTTAGATTGAAGACATATTGTACTGTAAATGTCACGCCCCGTACCCCATTGGAACGCAACATCCCGTCACGGTCGATTTTGGTGCGACGCTCCCAGGAAGCATCGCCGACCCAACGCCCAATCAGAGATCAAACACATGCAGAAGCACGTATATAAATATATATATACACCCTGACAATAAAACACATGAGACCAAGGTAGTACATTAAGTAAACAGCACCTCTGAAAATATGTATACTAGTATTACCATAGGAAACTTTTTACAAAATTCATTTATACAACGGCAGAGAAAACACACAGTCAGCAGCCACTCAGTAAAAAGGGGTCAGCGTATATCACTTCGGGCTCCTCAGCTTCCTCGACCATGGCTGCGGGTCCATCCCCACAAGGGTGCACACTAGATGACCGCTGGATGAATTGCGATATACCAAAAAGAGGCGCTCTCCTCGGCATCCTACGACTGGGGGTTTGAAATGTTTCGATTTACACAACCGTGAGACGAATCTCAGTGAGTTCAACCCCTAAACCTAGGCTAGGCTAGCATGCAATCTCCTGACCAGAAAATAAATAAGTGAAACCATAATACAACAACAATCAAATAATCCTCTGACCCTGCAGGTTAGGCAGTTCAATATATAATAATCACGGCACGTACGTGGCACATATTATCACACGTACGCCAATCACATGCTCATGCACCGAGGCTCACACACTCGCATGCCAGTCCATGCATGTTCATGCATGCAAATGTCATCGACATGTCACGTGTATTTCCCGGCCCACTGGCCCATACTGGCACACTGGCAATCGCCCAATTTATTATTTATTACGACTCGAGTCATCAATTTTTCACGGCCCGGTGCGTCTAGCCTGCTTCAAAGTGCATAAGGCGCAGCAACCGATCTGGCCTAGTGTCTCTAGCCTGCTTCAAAGTGTATGAGGCGCAACACTGTTCTCCTTGCGAACCAGAGCCTGCTTCAAAGTGCATGAGGATGGTCGCCTTCCGGACGTACCGGGCATCGTCCTGCTTAAGAGTGCATGAGGACGGTATCGACCCGAAGGTCATGACCCAAAGGTCCTTAGGCGATCACACAACTCATTATTATCTGAACCCAGCGTATAACGCTTCAGGGTATTTTAGGTGATCACATGCTCATGGCAGACACGCATTCTCGTACAATTTCATCACATACCTCACTCTTGGCATACGCAATGCGTGCCCATGTTATGCAATGCAATACACCACGAGCACCAATATAATTCAGACACCCAATGACACAATACGTGCTTAATTGGCCCAATTAATACTGTGTGGCCTAACGTGCGATTCACAAATCAGTAAATCATTGTAAACCAAACAATGGCCAATCGCACTCCATAAACTCAGCCACACCACATATGACATAGTAGTACGAAATCAACCACAATTACGTACAATTGACGTACAATCAGTCAACCCGGACATACCTGGTAATTTTCCAACGGGCTCCTAAATTGGTCATTTAATCCAATTAATCTCCCCAAATAATTCTCATTAATCCACTAAATTTCCCAATGATAATTTCTACCAATCCGTCCTCAACCCAGTCTGAAATACACTCGATACTATCTAAGCCACCCAAATTGTACCGATAATACCTAAACCACCCGTAAAAACGCACTAACAATCCTAATCCGGGTTTAGGAATTTTACTCACTTAATCAAAGATCACGAAGACGAAGAACGGCGGCCGATCACTGGTGAACAGTGAAACCGGCGACGGAATTCCTGGGCGCATACTGTTCACGCGGCACTGTTCACGGGGGTACTGTTCGCGCATACTGTTCACGGCGGTACGGACTTGTACGGACGGGCGGAAAACGGTGGCCGGCGAAGTGGCGGTGACGGCACGGCGGGGCCGTACGAACGCTACAGGACCGACCGTACGGACACCGTACGGACGGTGACGGTCGGCGTCGTATGGTGACGCTGGACGGCTAGGTGGCGACGGAACTGCGATCCGAGCTCCGGCGAAGCTCCGGCGAGGCTCGGACCCGGCGGCGGTGCTAAACCGGGAGAGAAAAAGAGAGAAAAGGAGAGGAAAAGAGAGAGGGAAAGGGGTCGAACGGAGGCGAGGCTCAGGCTGGGGGCTGAGGTGGTTGACGGCGAGGCGCGGCGGCGCTCCGGTGGCCGGCGGCGAGCTCCGGCGAGACAAAACCAAGAGGGAAAATGGAGAAAAAGAGAGGAAAAATGGGAGAGAAGTTGCTGTTGGGGGCTGGTTCTGCCGAGAATGAGGGGAGGAGAGAGAGAAAAGATGGTCAGCTGGTCAAATAAAGCAGCCCAAAGTGCCACGTGTCGCCGATCCGTGAAAAATGACCAAAACGCCCCTAATCTAACGGTTCTAAAGAGATAGGCTTAAATAATTGAGGGGCAATTGGGTCTTTGGTGCCAATAATGCAGCTGATAACCACAGTTACTTATCCCAAAAATTTCCCAAAAATTCGGACCCGAAAACGGCCCAGGGGCAAAACTGTCATTTTTCCGGTCCCGGGGTGAAATTCTAATTTTCGCACATATGTGTTCCATATGTGCGTGGTCAACATAATATGGCGTCGGATTCGCGAAATTCACTTTCTAAGCCCTCGAAAATCGACTGCGAAGTTTCGGGAATAAAATAATCTTATTTTTCCAATTTTTGTCGAAATTCCAATTTTTGGCCAAAACCACTCTAAATGTGCGTGGCCACCCCAAAATGACCTTGGCCGCGAAAAATAACCTCAAACGGCCTCCGAATCCAGCCTCGGTGCCCACAGGGGCAAAACCGTAATTTTTCACCCCCGGACCGAAATTCCACTTTTTACTCGTACTAACTCCAAACGTGTGTGGCCAGCGTAATATGACGTCAGATTCCCAAAAATAGTCTCTTAAGCCTTCGAAAATCGACATCGAAATCCGGGCCCAATTTCGTGATCAAAACTCGCTCGAGTTTCAATTTCAGGGTCTCTGGCTAACGGGCGGCTGTTTAGGACATACGCGTATTGACCTAGGGTTATTCGAATTACGACGGTCCCGATCATTGAGAGAATGAGAAATTATCATTAGTTCCAAATATCACGATCGTTCGGTTCAGGTTCAGGACTGGTTGGCCACGTGCACTTTCGGTCTTGCAGAATCACCTGTGATCCGATTGTACATCGTTGGCCTTGGCCAAACCAAATCCATCACCTTTCCTAAGATCGGCCCACGTTGGCCCAAAATATTCACTCATCGTATCTCGAGATCGGTGTCCCGTTTACTGTCGAGTCCCTGGTCCACGTACCGTTTCCTAGTTAGCCATACCCCATTGGTTAGTATCCCGAGAGTGATCAGCTCTGGGAGAGACTTACTAAAATGAAATGCGAAATATTGTCAATTTTATTGATCCCGGAATTATGTTGAAATTCGGGCTGTTACAGTAAAAGTTTGAATGACCCATCAATAAAGATAAGGCTAAAGTAGACAAGGAAGACAAAGAATGGGAGTGAATAAATAAGAAAATGGTTGACTTTATTCGACAATGGATTGATGATAGTGTTTTATATCATGTTGCTCAAGAAACAAATGCTAAAATTATGTGGAAGAAATTACGAGATCTTTGTGAGAGGAGGACCTCACAAAATAAAGCATTTTTAGTTAAGAGACTTGTAAAATTGAGATACAAGGAAGGGACTAGCACATCTGAGCACTTTAGTTAATTTCAAGATGTTGTAAATCAGTTGACAAATATGTAAATTGGTCTTGGTGATAAGTTGGAGGTGTGTTTATTTCTTAATACTCTCCTTGACCGTTATGATACATAGGTCGTGGCGTTAAATAACTCTACTCCTTACAATTTTCTTTTTTATGAGCATGGTTAAAGAAAGTTTGGGGGTGAGTGTGACATGAGTGTACCTGTTTTAAAGTTTTTGTGACACAAAAATTAGTTTTGGGTAAATGTGGCACTGATATACTAATTGAGGATTTTTGGTGGTATTAGCCCTTACAAAGATAGACTCAAAGATGCTCATTGTGATACTTAGCTTGCAAATTTCCAAGTTCGTTTGGGCCTTGAACGAAGCAAGAGAAGTCAGGCCAAATTTATCGAGAAAAAGGTTGAGTGTTCATTCGGCCCGCAAAGTCTAGAACCTTTGTTGATCAAAATTCTCACTGCTGAGTCTAATATCCTAAAATTAGAATGTCTCTATTTACTACGTGCAAAAGAAATGCAATGAGAAATGTAAATGCATGATGACGCAATGTTGGCGTTTTCGAATAGGGGTCAATTATCGCCGTTATCAGCGAATTCGATCCCTAACCTTTGCGAAATGCATCTGTGATACCTAACTCTCGACATAGGGTCCAAGATACTAAGACTACAATGTCCCTAGTTTCTAATTGTAGAGATGTGCCGATAGAAATGTCAATGCAAGATGGTGCAGGATCACTGTCTTTGCTTAGGGGTCAAATTCTGTCATTTTGATGGAGAATTTGATCCCTAAATATTTCAAATGCATGAATGATCTTTTAGGAGAAAATTTGACAATCAACAGCTATCCCTCTTTAAGGCTCCCTCTTCAAAGACAAGTGACACTTAAATTCAATTAAAAGACGGTGCAATTGATGCAAATAGAAATGTTGAGAGGGAAAACACTTTCATATGCAGAAAGGGTAGAGATCCCCCTGCATACAGACGTTCCAAACTTTTGTGCGACCCGCTGACCAAAAAATAAAACTTTTACGCAACCGTGCACACCTAAAACTATCCTACCATAGAGCTAGCAACTCAGATTCCCTTAGTCTCTATGTTTACATCATATATCCACATAAAAGTGCAACAAAAGATTGCATATTCGAGCCATTTAATTTGAAGAACACTCAATCCCTGGAAAGATGAATTGATAGTGAAAATGCATTTGAGAATTTTATCTTCCTTCGACCGTAGTAATGGTGATGGTATTCTTGGACTGGATGCTTCTTTCTTGTGATTGGACTTCTTGAGTGGGCGAGCTTTGAAATGTAAATGCCGGTTGCTTCGGCTGTGGAAGATTGGACTCCCCATTCAGCATCAGAACCACGGCCAACATGTCCGGTCTATCTGTGGCGCGGTCCTGCGTACAAAGAAGCCCTACCTGAATGCATCTCATCACTTCTGACTTCGAAAATGCGTCAGCAATGGCTTCATCCATCAGGTCCAATCCTCTGCCTTCACACCACAAGTGCCAAGCCTGTAACAACTAGTCGATTGTTAGATTATTTCAAGGACTACCCACGGTGGAAACTGAAATGGAGGTATAATACTTCCAAGTTAGATCTTGCACTTACGTAAGCGACGAGATTGAGATGTTGCCCGGGGTAATCTAAACTTGTGCTCTTCTTGCTGCTAATAATCTCCAATAGTAGTACTCCAAAGCTATAAACATCAGATTTCTCAGAAAATGTCCCACCCATGGCATACTCGGGAGACATGTAACCGCTGCAGGCAAAATATCATAAGTGGAGGGTTCCCGAAGTACAGTTTAAACAAAAAATCATAGACTAAAGAACTATTACATGAGAGGTGAGAAAATTGGAGGGTGATAAACTCCCAACTCGGCATGTACTGTATTTCTCTTATCTTTCAGCATTTGCACTACGGCGCTGGTCTATATTTACCTCAAAGCGAACTGACATATTGGAACCATTGGATGTACATAGTAGAGTTTTCTCGGTCATAGAAAAGCAACAATAGGAACATGTATGAAGGGATAGGTGGGTGCTTTATACTGCTAATATGCTTTCAAGGTGATATATTGCCTCATGAGTAAGAAAGCTTACAGTGTCCCCACAACTTTGTGAGTATTTACCAAAACTTGAGTGTCTTCAAACAAACGTGCCAGCCCAAAATCAGAAATCTTGGGATTCATCTTTTCATCCAAGAGAATGTTGCTCACTTTCAAATCTCGATGTATGACCTTGAGGCAAGAATCGCAGTGGAGGTAGAGCAGCCCTCTTGCGACCCCCTGGATAATGCGGAAGCGTACGCTCCAGCTAAGCTTTCCCTTCTCTTTTGAATCTAAAAAATGTTGCAAACAGAAGAAATATCTTGTTTCAGCACTGGATTTTGTTGAGAGCCGAAATAAGTTCTTTGAAGAGTGAGACAAACCAAAAAGGAAGGCGTCCAAGCTCTTGTTCGGCAAGTACTCATACACAAGAATCTTTTCTTCTCCTTCAGTACAGCAACCGAGGAGTCTCACCAGATTTCGGTGTTGAAGTTTGGATATTAGAAGGATCTCATTCTTGAACTCCGCTATGCCTTGGCCTGAGCTGCTCAAAAGTCTCTTTGCTGCTATCTCTTTACCATCGTTCAATTTTCCCTGTTTTGAAACGAACAGCACTATCAGATCTTGGATGATGTCTTTATTTCCCCCAGAGACGGCTTTTCTTTTACCTTATAAACTAGGCCAAACCCTCCCTGCCCGAGTTTGTTTTTCGTGTCGAAGTTGTCTGTCGCGAGGCGTATGCTATCAAAATCATAAACCACCAATTTCGATGCATCATCTTCCTTCATTTGCTCTTTCCATGCAGTTTCCCTTAGCAGTTCTTTTGATCTGATGTCTGCTGCCACTGACCTAAAGAGCCTTGGGATTGTCATTTTCCTAAACTTCCCTGCATTTTACAGATAGAACGAAATCAACTCAAGATAAGCATGAGAACATCATAAGCAAAGCAGTGTTTCTATAGTAGTAACTGCTTAGCTTCTGAAGCCCTGGTTTTACCATTAATTCAAGATTCTTATATTGCGGTTAGCGCAAAATAATCCCTAAGACAGCAACAAACCATACATCTTTTATTACCTCTCCACTTCGAAAGAACACAGACTAAAATACCAGCTCCAAATAAGATGATGCCAGAAATAATACTTAGGCTGATGATAAGTTTTGTCTGCCTAGGTAGACCTGAACGTGGAAAAATATATTATAAGAACCACAGGAAGTGCAAAACCAAACGCATATTAATTCAACCTTTTCAACCTGTATCCGCACCCGCACCCGCACCCGCACCCGCACCCGCACCTACACCAGCAAATCGAATAAATAGGTCTTCGCCACCTATAGAGAATTGCTGAGTATCTAGGAGGGCTTTACTCCAAGCCATACATCCTATAGTATTCACATAAGAAAAGGCCAAGCACGAGCAGTTTTCTAGGCACCAACTTTGACATCCTTCTGCATCATCTATCAATAAAACATCAGCAGAATCAGGCAATTTCATTTGTTCCATTTTGCTGAACATATCTTTTTCGACAGTCATTGAAGTAACTCTGCTTGCGGATTTTTGACAATTCAATTCCATTTCCCTAAGACAACCTCTGGTCCAGTTTCCTCTGTTCCATTCTTCATCTGATGTTGGTATAAAACCTTTTAAACATCTGCAAATAGGTGAACGAAACGGGTTGCAAACTCCAAAGGGGCCACATATTCCATAAATTTCACAAGGGTTAGTTGGTGCCGGTGCCTCCCAATATGGTGACCAGCCATTGGCCCAATAAACCGCCTTTAAAGATCCATCAAATGAGATGAAATTATATGCAAAGATGGAGTTGTTGTAATTATCGAGGGAATAATATGATGTTCCCTTGTCATTATCTTGCCGGAGATCAGAGCCACGCTTGCCCATGGTCGGTATTCCGATGAACTTAGTTTTATCCCACTGTCCGCTTCTCCAGTAAGGACTTGATCCATTCCAAGTGAAAAGCTGAGGCGGTGTCTCCGGTGTCAATCCTACAACAAAGCTTCCAAACGAGGGATCATCTTCGCCTTTCCAGGAAATCAAGTTTCGTTTCTTTCCTGTTTTCGCGTTTACTCCAATCTTCATGTATGGCAGGAGAGTGTCGGTTGGCTCATCAAAGCTTTCCCACATTATAATCGCATTCCTGTCTTGAAGAACAAGGTTTCCAAAGTCTGAAAGCACTGCTGCAGAATAATTCGACTTTGCTGTGACATTAGTAGACCACACAGTGTTTTGTTGCCCATCAAGAAGCTTCAGATTTCCATCTTCGCCAATTATTAAACTCACAGATTGATCTGTGTGTCCAATTGGCTTGTCCCTGTTGGCTACCCAGACAACTTTGGAGGGCGCCATGCTCTTGTACCATATTCCTACGTACTGATTTGCTGATCCATTAGGCGTGAAGAACCCGAGCTCAAAGATTTGACTACTAGAGACAAGGGTTTGGCTCTGAACCAGTGGACTTGATGCAGTTATGCTGTAAATTGTGCCGCTTTGAATTGCTTGAAGTGGGGAGAAGACGAGCAAAGAACACAAGTGCAGAGTCATTGGACTAATGTGGAACAGGTTCAACAAGTATTTGTGAAAAAATGCTTTGCGAAACTTCACCTCTTATAAGTAGATCAAAATAGATAAACACGGCTTTATGAAAATGTCATGAACAGTGCCATAACTTTTGTTTCACGCTCACTCTAGTGTTGTAAATTTTAATTCGATCACTTGAGTGCCATTACTTTAAAAGACATCAAGTTTATTTGAGTATTGCTAGAACATCCGATCGTGACTTTAATTTAATATAAAACCATATGACGTGGCGCACTAGGGAAATGATGTCATCTAAGCGTTTATTTCCTTGACTTAAATCGACGAATTAAGGCTAAATCCAACTCAAACCCTAATCCCAAATTAGGTCCAATGGTGGCGAGTCTTTATCCTGTGGGTCCCGCAAAAGGATGCCTTGCAGCGATGGCGCTGGATGTGGCGCTGCTGCTGACTCTCAAGGGTCGCCACAATGGCAATCCTTCCAATTTGTGGTAATGTAGCTTTTCTTCCCATGGGCATTGGATTGGAATTTTGGATGTGATATCGGAGATTTTCCCTTTGAGGACAGTAGCACTCAGGGCCGTGGGTAATAGAGTGTGCAGTAGGCTCGTGGCGATGTCCTTCGTCTTGTTTTCCGAGCAACCACATTGGACATCAATTTGGGGCAAGGAAAGGCTAAACCACATTTCTACAAGCTTTTAATGATATCATTTTTATGATGACCCACAATGAACGATTTATATTAATTAATTCCACGTCAAATTTTTTGGTAAAAGAAATCATTGGAGTCATTCAAGTGAACATTTTCTATACACATATGATAATTAAGTGATTAATTAAAAAATTATCACACCAAAGTGATCGGTGTACGAAAGTAATGGCATTTGTAATGTACTTTTCTCCACAGGATTACTACAAAGCAGGGCCTGTGAACCAGCCTCATTGTGTGTCGATTCTCTTTGAGTTTGCTTCAAATAGATTCATTTTATAGAATAAAGTAGTTTCCAGTTGGGCATCACAGGATGCCGATATTCCATTGGGATATAGATTTTTAATGATCAGAAGTGTTTCGTTTGGCAATAGTAAAATGGTTTCGCAGGTAATATTTGGATCCTCCTAACCAATAGAAGCATTTGCGGCTTTTTTTCCCTTTTTTCCTTATAGAAAATGTGGATATCAAGACACTAAGGAGTTAGGAAATTGAAGTCATCTGCTGAAATTCAATGTGTCCACTCTTATTGTTGTATACAAGAATAGGGTGATGACTGGCTATATGGCCCTTAATATTCGTCCTGAGCTGGCAAAGCTAAAACCCCATGATATTATGCTGTAAATATATATAGACAAGTTTGTGATATTGTAGATTTGGCTATATAAAGTTGCTAAGGACTTACAGAAACGAAAACAATCATCTGTATCATTCAAGTTTTTTATTCTCCTTGAATTGGTTCTTCCATATTCAAAATGCTTAGATTTGGGATGGGGTTGATACTTCACAAATTTTGCTGATTGTGTTTGGCTCAAAGTAAGCTTATTGCGGAATTATATTTTCATTTTAGTTACTTTGACAACTACCCTTCTTTCTTTCTTTCTATCGTTTAACTTGAAAATGACTTGTTGATTGTTGCAGGCTCATCTCAACAAGAGGTATCATCTGAAATACGAAAAATGATATTATAAGTGTCATAACTTTTCTATCGATCATTTTCCTTATCATAATATTTTAAAAGATGTTCGTTTAAGTGACTATGGTAATTTCTCTTGTCGGAAAATCTGACGTGACATTAATTTAATAAAAAATCATCCGACGGGACTCGCTGGGTAAGTACTATCATCAAAAGCGTGTAGAAAGGACACCGTTTGACCCTTTCATTGCACCAAATTGACAAGCAACTGATTGCTCAAGAAATTGAGATGAAAGACATTGCCACAAGCCCACCGCACACCGTATTCCGCATGACCCTGAGTGCTGCTACTTGAGATCGCAGCCTCAAAGGGAAAATCTCCAATGTCAATACACATAATACCAGTATATCCCACAAAGAGAAAGCTATGTTACCACAAATCAAAAGGATTTCCATTGTGGCGAGCCTTGAGGACCAGCAACGACGCTTTCACCCCAAGGATGTCCTTTGGCGGCACTTGTAGGACAAAGACTGGCCGCTGTTGGACCTAATTTAGGGATAGGGTTAGGGTTTGAGTTGGTCTTAGCCCCAATTCGTCAATTTGGGTAAGAAAGGGCTAAATGACTCGTTTTTGCACACTTTTGATAACATCATTTCCCTGGCGAGCCATATCAAACAATGTTATATTAAATTATTGGCACGTCATAAGATTTTTCGGCCAATGAAATCATTGACATTACTCAAGTGAATGTTTTTTCAAAGTTATCATACTTAAGTGATCAGTTAGATATATACTATATACGGTACCCTGTACAAGAATTATAGCACTTATGATGTTTCTTCCTATATTTTTTTTAAAAGAAGTTCACTCCACTTTTTTAAACTATAAATTAGGATAAGTAGTTCACCGAAAAAAAAAATTGGACAGATCTTTCTGTTATAGCGGAAGACAAACAACAAAAACAAACACGTACCTTTACGTCTGGTCACGGGAGCAGGAGGAGATGGAAGGTAGTTCGGCGGAGGCACCAGGGCCGCCATGGCCGAGGCATTATAAAATGGGTACAGCTCGAACCTCATGCTGCAGCTCGGAGTGAACAACCTCCCACCTTGCTTCCCCTGAGGGAGGCCTGCGATTGCTGCCTGGAGGCACGTGTTGCACTCCGACACCGTCAAGTCCGGCGTGCATTGTGCGAGCGTGTACAGCTTCTGCAAGGTCGTGAAGTTTGCCTCTGCAACCGCGACTTTCTTCCCCGACTTTTGGACCGATGCCCTCACGGTGATGGTTTCCATGGTCTCTCCTAGGACTTGCATGAACCGGGTTGGATAGGTGATGTTCCCGGTGTGGTACATCGTGAGAGAAGGCACTTGTTCCATGACCGAGTAGACGGACTCATCAGAGTACCTCAACATACACTCGTCATACCAGATCACAGAGACTCGCCGGTCGGGGCATCTCTGGAGGATATCCTGTTTTCCAGTGGCCACACAGTCGCTGCACGTGGCTGCGTCGACGTCGCCACGGCAGAGGAAGATCCCGTAGACCTGGTCGGGAGGGTTTTGGCCGGCAATGGCGTTGGCGAAGCCATCAGCGTTGTCGGTGGCGGCGGCGGAGGAGAGGGAAGAGAGGAGGGCGTTGAGGTTGGATTGGTAGGTGGAGTTGGGAGTGAAGAGAGTGGTGCTGGGGCAGTAATGCCGCAGAAACGTGGGTGCTGATTCAGTACCAAGAAAATTTATGAAGAAGAAGAGGAGAGAGAGGGAGATGGTGAAGCAGGAACTCATCTTTCTGTTGATGAATCCCTTTGGTCTTGCTGCACGGGCACGGAATCATAGGAAGAAGAAGAAGCGCCATGGTCTCCTCTCCTATATATTTTTGTCGTGGAAACTATTCGAAAAATTTATTACTTGTATTTAATGGAATCTAACCCGGACCGCCAAATCTGGTAAATAATTGCAAAAGAAAAAATTTATTGATAGTGGAAGCGACCTAAAATATGGGGTTAGGCTATTATATCCTTAATAATTATACCCGTTGGATTGCCAATATTTATCTTTGCCAGATGTTCAATTGGTGACAATCCAACGGCTGCAACCGCAAGCAAGGTCCTGCTTAGGCGAGAAAATATTGGGTGGTCCCGGACCGCCAAGTCAGTGTGTTCCCCGACCACTCACGAGGCGCCACGTGGCGCGGGTGGGGCCGGCGGGCCGGGATCCCTTTTTTCCACAAGAAAATTAATTTTCTTTCTCTTTAGTCCTGCACCCCTCCTCTGCACGTTAAGGACCTCTTTATCAGCAGTCTCTCCCCTCTCTCTCTCTCTCTTTATTAACGTGGGGCCTCCTCCTTCTCTCTCCTTCTCTATCTCCTTAGCGCTCCCCCTCTCTTCTCACGCACGAAGCCCCACATTCTCTCTCTGTTTTTTCAAAAGTCGCTCCCGCCCGAGAGCAAGCCGCCCGCCCGCCGGTCCCGGCCTCCGCCGTCGCCTCCGCCCGCCAGCAATGCAGCTTTTGTCGTCGCGAGGCTCGCAGCGCATCAGTTCTTCGCTGAAGCTCCTCCGCCGTGCGCCGCCGTCACCAGCATCTCCTGCTGCTTCCCCTTTTTCTTTTCGTGCCCGGATGCTGCTTCGCTGTGTCGACTCTGCAAACGCGATCGAACCTCCAAAAGACGCGGCAGCGAGCGATCCCGGGCGATTTCTTGAGATGGGCTGCGCTCGGTTCCTGCAGAAAGTCGAGATTCGCCGCCGGGTTCGCGCCGCTGGAGCCCAAGCCGTTGGATTCGATCATGGACGTAGGGAGAGTGAAGGTCCGTTCGGCCGAGGAGATAGCCTCAGTTTGGGATGATGTAAGCATTCCAAGTCCATTGCTTCTATACTGTCGTTATTGATGCGTCCGAAATGCGTGTTCTCGTAATTATTTTGATGCACTATAGAGATTGTATTTGTTCTTGGGGGCTAGGAATTGCTACAAAAAGTTAATTCAGAAGCTCGTTCGATGGACGCCTATCTGACCGAATTTGGCTTCTGTATTTTGGAACCAACACAACAAACTGTAACTGATAACTCTCTGTATCAAGTCGTTGGTTTGGTGAAACACTCTACATTTACTTGAAAAATAAGTTTAATAATCTGGCTTCGTCATTTCAGAAGAAGAATGGAAAGTGGAAGGATTTCTGGACGGTAGCTTCACAAATTTATTGCAACTCGTAGTGTAATTAAAGGATGACAGTGGGCTCAAGTGAAAATAGGAACCTCTAGGTTGTTGCAAGGGTATAGCATTAAGATTCTGAGAAACTAGTCTTTACAAGTTTAAGAGCTCTCTTTTTGGAGGGCCTGGACGTCCATGTCAAGCATTCTAATAGGCAAACCAGAGACCTGCTAATGTGATATTTGCCACTATTTACACAGAAGTTTACAGAATGAAGACGGAACCACTTTCATATTTTTACTCTGGTTTTGAAATAGTAAACATAAATTTTGTTCTGAGGTATTGTACTTTGATTAGTCAAAAAACAGCAATTGCTCTCCCATCCTGAATCTGCTGAAGATTGATAGTGTTCCTACACCGTGCAGTCTGTAAGCCATAAAATGCTATTGTCTTTTTCCCCCTTATTTCAGTAGTAATCTTAAAACTAGCATCTATTCACCACGCCTGTTCTGCCGATGCTTGAAATGTCTGGTGCTTGGTTCTGCGTATTTAAGTATTTTAGCTCTTCTCGCAGCAAGAAGTTGCTCATTTTTACCATAATTATGTCAAGATTTACATTACCAGAAGTCTTTCTAATTTTGGACTCAAGTAAGATCATGAAGTTTGGTAACGGCAAAAGTTGAGCTTGTCATATCAACATTAATGTGAATTAGTATGTATTGTGCCCTTTCAGCTTGCTAATCATCTGATCATGCTCTCTGGCATGTCTAAGTTTGTCGCAAAGGATTTGGTTGAATGTATTTTGCCAATCAGACCGAATTTGGTTTCTGTATTTTGGAACCAACACAACTGTAACTCTCTGTATCAAGTTATTGGTTTGGTGAAACACTCTACATTTACTTGAAAAATAAGTTTCATAATCTGGCTTGGTCATTTCATTAGAAGAATGGAAAGCGGAAGGATTTGTGGACAGTAGCTCCACAAATTTATTGCAACTCGTAGTGTAATTTAAGGATGACAGTGGGTGCAAGTGAAATAGGAACCTCTAGGTCGTTGCAAGGGTATAGCATTAAGATTCTAAGAAACTAGTCATTACAAGTTTACGAGCTCTCTTTTTGGAGGGCCTAGACATCCATGTCAAGCATTTCAATAGGCAAACCAGAGAAAGAGTATGAAGCTCAAGGATGATGACAACAGAGTAGAATATTGCATCCTCTTTGACATAGGGGATCCTAAAAATTCATGATTTCCTATTGCTCTTTTGGGATGTAGAACTGTGACTTATGAGAGAAGGAAGAGGAGCTAAAAAAACTCTAACTCTACGAAGACAGGAGCAGGAATAGGAATCTGTTGTTTCTGCTCTATTTGGCTGTTCTTTTTGTTTCTGACATATTTTTCGGTGTGATCTTATAGATTCTTAACTCGATTGATTTTTCTCTCTACAGTGGCATGCCAGAGTGCAAGCTTGGCCTAAATGATAGAGTATTATTGGAGGCCCAAGGTCGAACAACAAAGGGAAAGGCAATTGATTTGGATGACATAAAGTTCCATCAGTAAGTTGTCTAACTCCATTAGCTCCTATGTTGGCTGAACTGCTTGTTAAGATGATTCTCCTTTCCTTTTTCTTATGTCAATCTCAGTTTGATATGTCATTTTGGATTGAACTCTGTGTTGAATTAGGTGTGTATGCTTGGCCCGCTTCAAAAATGATAGGACAATCTCCTTTATACCACCTGATGGATCTTTTGACCTTATGACATACAGACTCAGTACTCAGGTTTGCTTCGAACTTTGATTTTAGTTATTTTCCTATCATTGCATTTGTAGTCTTTTGAAAGATGCATTTATTTTTTCTACTTCAGGTAAAGCGACTTATCTGGGTGGAAGCCCAAGAAGTCGTATTGAGATCATGGTAAAAGCTAGGAGCCAGTTCAAGGAGCGCAGGTGATTGTTCTTTTAATGATTATATAATTGCTTTTCTTGTTAATGATTTATCAGAATTCTAAGTTTGATTTGAAAAGCTGTACTGCTACAAACGTTGAAATTGAGTTGCCAGTTCCTGCTGATCTACGAATTCGAATGTTTGAACTTCAATGGGTTCTGCATCATATGCACCAGAAAATGATGCACTTGTCTGGAAAATAAAATCCTGTCCTGGTGACAAGGTATGGCAGGAGTATATGTTAAGGGTTGAATTCAGTATACCCAGTATAACAGCCGAAGAAGCAACTCCTGAGAGGAAGGCCCCCATACGAGTGAAGTTTTAGATACCATATTTCAGTCTCTGGCATATGGGTGCCTCTCTATAAGGCATATTTTATTGGTCAAATCTTCCAATATATTCATGGTATTGGTCTGGTTTGACTTAACTGTTGGAGAAAGAATGATGTAAGGAGAAGGGTAAGATTTATTAGCAAAAAATGGTTGCCATGGACATATCAAATCCTAGATGATGTCTCTTCACGACTATTTTAGGAAGAATCAAAAGGTTTGCCATGAGAAGACGTACAGATCTTTGAATGCCAAAATATCCAAGCATTACATTGTTCAAAATTATTTTATATACTATTAGTTTCTTAGATTGCTGGACATATTCTGCGGTGAAGCCTTTATTTCAACAAGCAAAGCAGAATATTCATTCCGTTTTATTTCTGATCCTTGATGCTGTTTTAGGTGCGGTACCTAAAGATTATTGAGAAGACCGGCTACCAGGCTCTTCCCTGGGTGAGATACATTACAATGGCAGGTGAGTATGAACTGAGGCTTATTTGAGGTAGATTTACCAGACATTTATAACTTATCCAAACAGTTTAAAGTGCACGGTTAAAGGTGAACTCATAGATTTCGTTGACTGCATGCTAAAATGCACCACAATCTTTTTAATATATTTCTTTTGAGATAGGCACAAAACCCTTGTAGCCTTATCACATGAAATCTTCATGCCCAATATCTTCTTTACAGCACCTAAATTTTTCATCTCAAATTTAGCACTTAATTGTCACTTCGACACATCAATATAAAGACATATGTTGAGCTGCTATGAACATATCATCAACATAAAATAATGGATAAAACAAAGACCAAATCCTTCAATTTTCCAAAGTAAACACAGCTATGCAATTGACTTTTCAAATAGTCCTAATAATATATGAAAGCATCAAAACACTTAAACCACTGTATAGGAGACTTTTTCAGTCCATTCAAAGATTTATTTAATAAACAAACATGGTCTTCTTTCCCTGAATAGCATATCCCTCTAACTGCGTCATGTAAATCCGTTTCTCCATCTTGCTGTAAAGAAACGTTGTTTTCACATCGAGTTATTGTTCGGCAGCTAAAGCAAGTAACACTCAAACAAAAGTATGCCTTACCATAGGATAGAACATCTCATTATAGTAAATGCTCTACCATTGAGTATATCATTTGCAATAGGTCTTGCCTTGTACCTCATTACCTTGACAATGGGAATGCTCTTCTTCCGATGATTGACCTATTTGCACCCAACAATCTTCTGGCTATTGGATACTTTAACTAGCTCCTATGTCTGATTCTGATGAAGTAATATTATCTCTTAGCTCATAGTCGCTAGCCACTGCGATGACTCAGTGCTTGCGATCGCCTCAAAGTAAGACAATTGGTCATCCATCTCTATCTTGTCACCATAGTCAATGCATAAGCAATACCAATATAATCATAATGTGTTTGTGGTTTGATGTGCCTTTTCTATTTACTAGTGGCTATACTGTGTTGCGGCTTTGCTAGTTATTTTACGTAAAATTACGAAACTACCCTTTACTAAATTAACCCATAAAAAAATACTAAAAAAATAGAAAAACCCATCTAAACAATCTCGAATTGCGAAAATCCATCGTTAGTCACGGCTAAAGGCGTGAGTATTGATCAGCACGCCGTTTCGCTTCAGCCGATCAAATTTGAGCTCAATCCGACATCGTTGACTTCAAACCCGCCGATTCGTCTAGTCACATAACGGGTCCGCCGGTCCCCCTTAGGTGCATCGCTTTGTTACATAAGGGCATGAATTTTTTCCCACAAAGCTATGCCATTCTTTTGCTCGGCCACTTCTATTAACACCTCATCCCATTGATTTAACCGGATTATACTCTTCACTTTCTCTATCATATCTACCTTATAGCCTCTTTAATCGTTTCTAACAATTCAATTTTTCCATTCAATGGCTTCACTAAACCTTGGGTTGTTAATAGCGCACCCATTTTAATGCTCCACAACCCAAAGCTATTCCTTCCATTAAACTTCTCAATTTCTACTTTCGCTCAAGATATAATTATATCAACAAAATTTCTAGATAATGATTAGATAAGTAAAAGCCCAAGTCAAACTATAAAATCGTAGTCTTAGCTCTGGTACAAATTGTTATAAAAATAATACAGAAGCTAACAGATCTTGTAATTTAAGTCCAATGCGAGAGAGCGAAATTACTAGAGAAATAAACTAGAAACAATAAGGACACAAGAGATTTCCTTGATTTGGTCCGAGTGTAGGTACTTCGTGGGGAGAACTAAGTGCCAAAAAATCTATTATGAATCTGAAGAGTACAAAGTTTACTATCGCTCAATAATCAAGTGTTCCCAACGCCCAATTACACCTAAAACAAACAAGTGTTATCTCACAATTTCTTATAGAGAACTCACAGATAAAAATCCTAACACTCTTCTTATTTACTCTAGGTTGTGTCCAATGAGTTGAATTCTATCTCCTATATATACATGGTATTTGCATCCAACATAAAAAACTCCTTTAAAAGAATCTACTCAAACCAGAAAACTTAATCAAATTAAGAAATTTACTTGAATCCAGTTTCCTTTACAAACTTGAATTCTTTTAAAATTTGAAATTCCACAAGACATATTTAAAAGTCATAAAACATATTGAAAGTTTAAATCATGCAAATTTATTAAATAGTTTTTGTTTCTAAGGGTAGGTCAGAAGATATTTTTACAAGTCAAGACAAACCTATGTGCGATTTTCGTTAAAGTCAAAGAACACTATGGGTGCGAATGGTAACCATTCTGCTCCAGAAATCAAATTCTTGCCAGAAATTAATTTCTGGAATTCTTGCCAGAAATTGATTTCTGGAGGAGAAATATGTTTGGTAAAACATGACTAATTCTGCTCCAGAAATTGATTTCTGGAACAGAAATTTGTTTTGATTTGTTGATTTTTTTTTGCACCTAAAAAAATTTAAATTTTACTCAAAGTGGGTGGCCACATACTTCATCAGTGCCATTCCCAGCAGAATGGCTGCTGAAGCCTGTCTTTGCAGTGCTAGAAGCCAAAATGCCCATAAGCTGTTCGAGGTTATTGCTGCCAAAAGTGTAATTGTTTTTTTCAGGTTGGCAAAGCACGTACAGAGGATCGTTTCCATTAATGGGTGTGACAAGAAACAAAATCGATGCCACGAATACGAAAAAGGTGACAAGATTCGAATCTCTTGCCATCTTTCAGGGTCGAAACTGTATTCTAGACCAGTGAAGAGGCACTAACTGGGAATGATTTCCATAAACGGTGAGGGAAGAGGCTTTCTCTAAAGTTGAAAGGTCCATGGCATGGATACAATTCAACACAGTGAAGGTGGGCGGAGAATCTTCAAGTCGGTCAAGAGTAGAATTATTATAAAATTGCAGCAAAAGAGAAAGGCCATTTGGCTACCTTTTCTTCCATGAAAGCGAAGAGAAACTTCACTGTAGCATCGTGAAGTTGACATGAGATGAAAGGCTTAGAAGACCCAAGAATATTTCATTTTCTAGAAATGGAATCAGACCAACAGCATAAGACCTTGTCGTTATGGTTTAATATCACGAAAAACCCTGTACAGATATATCCGTAACAAATTTACCTCAAACTAATTTTTAGATCATCAAAAACTCCAAACCGGTACGCCTATAATAGTTTTACCCTCCGTTAGTTTCCGTTAAATTTTATCGTCAAATTTATGAATTTGATTACACATAACAGTTGACGGGTGTACTGTTTGGGGTTTTACCCTCCGTTTGTCGCAAGTGTACGAGTTTGTGATTTTTCATGATAGTAATTTAATTTAACGGAGGGTAAATTTATCACAAATGTACCAGTTTTGGGTTTTTGGTAGTCAAAAAATTAATTTGGGATAAATTTATCACATATGTACCAGTTTTGGGTTTTTTGTAGTCAAAAAAGTAATTTGGGGTAAGTTTGTCACATTTGTATCAATTTGAGGTTTTTCGTAGTATTGACCCTTTATTTCTTTTATTCATTTTTATTTCAGCCTTCCCCTCCAACGTCAAAGAACATTATCCAAACTCATCTTATTACATGTTAAAATCAAATTAGTTAGAAAAACTTCGGATTATACAGAAACCCGTCATCGTTCTTTGGCTTTACGTGATTCCACAAGGTCTGGGTTTGGCGAAGCCGGCAATTGAAGCGAACGAAAAGGCGATCTTTCTTTGAAATGGTATTTTAGTGTAGATGCTTTTTCAGAGATGATGGACTGGAATTTAAGACTTTTTAACTCGCTTGACTTCGTTCCACTCGAAGGAGAGTCATATGAAATGTTCAGAAACTTCGTGTGCATCCGACCCTTGTTTTTTGTCATATTCTTTACTTCTGTCCACTTGGAGGGGTCATTCCATTTGAATTTGACTCTTCGGCATGAGTTATAACCTGCACGACAATAATATTTTTGTTCAAGCGTGACGGGTCAAGTCCATGGATAGGAGTGCCTCAATGTTCAACTTGGAAATATGTATCGTCCACGGTCAGGACACGGGCCCGGACGGGCTGCGGGGCACGCTAGCCCCTCGAAGTTCGACCCAAGTTGCTGTGTGCAATAACAGCGAAAAAGTGGCAGCCGGTATTAAAATACAGCAAAGTGAAGCGTTGTGCGCGACTCTTTTGTCAACTCTGGTTTAATTACTTGGGATTCACGTGATTTATGATTGTTTCGCACGATGTCTTTCGTGGAGTTTGGTTGTATATATTATTGCTTTATAAAGTATATGTTAAATATGTCTTGAATTTTATGTACTCGGTCCAGTTTATTACCCGACCCGACATATTTTTTGTGCGATTTAAAAGTGGAGAAAAAATTGAGATTTAGTTCGTAGCCCCCGAAGAAATTTTTTGGGGAGCCCTATTTGTACTGCAGCTAGGTTTTTTTTTCTTGATTAAGAAAGATTTTCGTTTTGGGAGAGATTATGAGCCGTGAGGTTTTGTTAAGTAGTTTTTTCGACTTCTGAAAACTGTACTCTCTTTCATTATAGTGGAATCTTGTTTTGCCTCACCCGTGGACGTAGATTACCTTGTGATCGAACCACGTAAATTCTTGTGTTTTGTATTTGTTTTTCCGCGGTTGTTTTCAACAGTATATAACGGCCTCCTCTTCATGTGGAATTTGAGCGGTCGCATTATTAAACTGGTTGATGCGCAAGTCTGGTTGTCCCTCATCAATATATTAGTAATGGAAATAGCACAATATCAAGTAACAGCATACAGACCGAAAAAAAGAAAGTAACAGCATCAAATCCACCATTCACAACCAAACAATGAGGAAGAACATGGATTCATATTAGGAGCTTTTATTTCCGGCTCAAGAGCCATGAAAATCAACGAGGAAGGTTGGAAAATGATAACGTCCTCGACGTGTCGATGTCTCTCGAGCCGAGATGGTCATCTCACATAATTAAACAGCTTATGGTTGAGAATCGGTTGTTTAGCGAATAACTAGTGTACAAGTTACCATGTCCAAGCAGTATACTTGTACAAGGAACCGTGTTTATCTCCTAGGGTAGACTTTTCTCACCGAGGTGCCACAGTGGAAACCGTCAAGCGATTAACGGAACAATCACTGTCTTCAACACCTCCATTGGACCAATGAGTGAATCCGCTGACCGAGAAGGCGGGTTTAAAAGGTTGATGGAGAATTACAGCATCCATTTTGAGCATCACATTGACAGCCGACATGGTCGGCCGGTCGAACGCGTCTTCTTGAACGCACAAAAGTCCGACATGGACACATTTCATGAATTCTTCAGGACAACACTCGTTGTGGAGCAATGGATCCATCAACTCCATTGCTCTTCCTTCATTCCATAACTGCCATGCCTGCAATAAAGTTATGTCATCCCATCATTTCTAATGCTAAACGCCAACCAGGAATTACGAAAGAAAAAGGATGCAACGGACCAACATGTTGCGCAATGCAACTAGTAATATTCATCAATATGCACAAAAACAGCAACCGATGCCATGACCGAGGTCTGAGAGAACAAACATAAGCCAAAATTAGAGATTTACAAGTCTAATGCCATAGCACATTTGTTGTATTTTACTGTCTGATCTTCCAAATTTTCTGTCATTGTGACCTCAAAACATTTCTCATATAAGATTCTTTTCGAATTTATTAAGTCTTAATTACGTGAATGGTGTGAAAGCCGGAGGTGTAATCGAGTTATAACTTACATAGGCTAGCAGACTCGAGGCACGTCTTGACTGCCAAAAGCCGGCATTTCTCTCCCCTGTTATTATCTCAAGCAGGAGAACTCCAAAGCTGTAGACATCCGATTTTATGGAATATAACCCCTCCATTGCATACTCCGGCGCCATGTAACCACTAGGTAGAGAATAAAATGTCAGCTTGTGGCAAAATGAAGCAACATAGAGTCCAAGCTAAAAGTGCCGAGATTTATATCACTTCAAGGAACTCTCGAACATCATTTAAGTCCTGTGAAGGAAACTGTACTTACTAGGTTCCAACTAGTGTAGCAGTATTTGCTTCATTTTCTGTTCCTGCAAAGATCCTTGCCAGTCCAAAGTCCGAGATTTTTGGGTTCATGTCGCAATCCAATAACACATTGCTTGCTTTGAGGTCTCTGTAGATGATTCTTTGACGAGAATCCTCATGAAGATATAGCAGACCTCGAGCGACGCCGATGATTATGTTCAGACGTCTGCTCCAACTCAGCTCGATCCTTCTCTGCGCGTCTATACCAAAAAAAGAAGTTACCAAATGTCAGATAAATATGATATTTGGCATGTTTTTTTTTTTTTTACGAGACCTTTAGGACTGGTGTATACCGAAGAGAAAGACATCAAGACTTCTATTTGGCATATACTCATAGACAAGCAACTTCTCCTCTCGTTCTGCACAAAATCCAAGAAGCCGGACCAGATTTTTATGTTGAAGTTTCATTATGAGCAGGACTTCGTTTCTGAATTCTTCGGAACCCTTCTCTGACCAGCTCTCTAGCCTCTTCACCGCAACTTCTCTCCCATCCCATAAAATACCCTTTCAATAAAAAACAAGAAACTACTTAACAAAATCCAGAAAAGCAAGAGTATCTATTTAAAATTCGGCAACCAACACTTTTTTTTTATTGAACTATTGCCACCTTGTAAACTGGACCGAATCCACCTTGTCCTAGTTTTAGTGTATCTGAGAAGTTGTCAGTAGCCGCAAGTATGCATCTCATATCAAAATATGGATGATCTTGAATTTCAGTCAGAGTATTTCCTGGGATGTATCGCAATGGAAGAATACCATGAGCAGAATCACCAGTAACCAGAGGTTGATCCTGTTTATCTGCGAGGTCTTTCTTCCCTGGAATCAAACATGATGAGTCTCAAATATATTGGAATTTGGGGAGGGCACATAAATCACCATTAGGATAAAGATTGTTACTTTTGATGACGATGAAGAAAATCCAGGAGCACAAACTGATTGCCGCCAAGCAGAGCAATGAAATTGTGAGAACTTTGATCAGCCACTTTTTCCCTGCTTTTGACAAGAAATAGTTGCAGCCTCTTCACAGATTCAATCAGTTCTAATATTAACAACTACAGACTTCGTGAGGAGAAGAACAATTACAGGTAAAATTTTTTGGCATAACCTTACCAGACTTCTTCACCGGCTCGTTTGTTCCATAGAAATCATATAACTCATATCGCAAGTAGCAACTCGGACTTAGAACTCTTGCTCCGAGCGAAAAATAGCAGCAATCTTTCACATGTCTTGTTGCTTCTTGGAGGCACTTGCGACAATCATCTGCTGTTAAGTTCTGAGTGCACTGAACAAGAGCATATAAAGTCTGGTTCGTGCCCAATTCAAATTCCTTTTCCTTAGTAGCATAGTAAGTCCCTGGAGACTCAAGAACTGCTTTCCGGGCAAGAAAACTTAAAGTTTCATCCACCACTGACCCGAACTTGCCAGGGTCGGATATATTTTTCGGATTGAACTGATGTTTGTATATTTCAAACAGACGGCCGAAAAATTTTTGGTCGGATATACGCAACTGGCAAGAATCCTCCCAAACGACGGCTTCCATCTTGTTTGGACAAAGCTCCAGGATGTCTTCTGATCCCTTGACTATGCAACTTCGGCATGTTGAATTGGGGACATAGTTGAGGCACATGTATTGACCATAAACTTTATTTGGGGAGTTCCCGGACGAGTCCTCGAAGAACTTGGAGGAAGAAGCGTTCTTTATCATCCAAGAAGTGAGCTCCTGGAGGTTGCCCCGATATGCACTGTTTGTGGCATTTGAACTGTTGTCGGGGCAGTGCTTTTCGGGGATATCAGCCAGAACCGGGTTGTGAAATCCATGAAGAAGACAATGAAAAAAGAGCTGTAGGATGGTTCTTGAGACCACCTGAGAACGAAACAAGGTGATCATTTCTTTAGTGCACTCCAATTCTGAGTAATCACCTCTCCACGGAGTCACTGATGCAAGCCATCAGCAGGATTCCGGAAGAAAGCACATCCTTCACGCTTCATTATTTATTTGGTATCTGAGACTGACATTTGTAAGAAATGAAACAAACCCACCCCACAAAATAGTGGTTACGAAACGGATTTGTGTAGAGATTAGGTGCACAAGTACAGATTCGATACCCTCCCCACAAAGTACAGCAAATCGGGTCAACGCAAGTATTTTACAATGAAGCCTGATAGAAGACCAAGACTTCCATTCTAATCGTGAGCGGGATTGGAACGGAAATGCATCTAAGCATCCTATTGGTCGAGTGACTTTGACTCTGACCAATGAAATGGGTCTACTGAAATCAGCATATCCAACCCTTTCCTAAATGACGTGGTTTCCGTGTCCATGTATGTTAAAAGTAGCAACCACAGGAATTAGAGAGATGGGCTCCAAAACAGTTTGCATGGGATTGATGCTAGACTTTGGTTCTCATGTGTGACCCTTTATTTCATGATCTGGTGGTTAATTGGGATTAGAAAATCGCCACATGGAAAGACTCGAGAAAACAAAAGTAGGGGTATAAATAAGGATTAGTACCACGAAAAATTTCAAACTGGTACACCTGTGACATATTCACCCCAAACTAATTTTTTGACCATCACAAACCTCAAACTAGTACATCCGTGATAAATTTATCCTCCGTTAATTCCTGTTAAATTTTATCGTCAAATTGCTGAGTTAAATGACGTGTCATAGTTGGCAAGTGTATCAATTTGGGGTTTTCCCCTCCGTTTGCCACAAATGTATGAAGTTGTGATTTTTCGTGATATAAATCCAATTTAACGGAAACCGACGAAGGGTAAATTTATCACAAATGTATCAATTTTGGGTTCTTGGTGGTTAAAACATTAGTTCGAGGTAAATTTGTTATAGGTATACCAGTTTTGGGTTTTTTATGGTCAAAAAATTAGTTTTGAGTAAATCTGTCATATATGTATCCGTTTAGGGTTTTCCATAGTTTTAAACCCTATCAATGAAGGATAGTTTTAGGAATTCAAAGTCAAGTCGCATATGTAAATTATTAGGAAGTAGCCCGCCAAGGAAATTTCCTTCTATACTGTCAATATCAGACCTGTCTTCATCTCTTTTAGTCTACTAATAGAACGTTCTGTCAAGGACAAACTGCATTAGTTGGGGGAATTTTCAATGGCAACTCAATCCAAGGAACTAGTTGAGCTAATTGGCGAAAGTGATGTAATTCAGACATGGCAATCCGGACCTAGCGATTTGAGAAGCAAGATGTCTCGAATTTGAATCCAGTTTGGCATAACCTCTTGATGCCAAGTCGAGAATCCCGTAAGTTGGGACCGTTGATGACATGGCAATTTGTGATCTTGCTCGTTTATCTTTATCTTATGATTAATCAAATCAGGCAGAAAAAGGCTATAAAAAAAAGAACAAAAAAAAGAGGATTTAATTGCAAATTGACCATTGGTAAGGGAACAGATTTTTCCCTCCTGCACTTATCTCCATAAGTCCGATGCTGTATTAGCCATTACTAATATCCAAAACTTGGAAAGAACTGGAGTTCTATTCGAGAAAAGCCAAATTGCATTGACACTGCTTCAGTTCAAGAAAATATATGGAGCTTCTGGTTTACAGAATTTGCATTGATCCACCTATGGATACATGGGTCTCCACAATTTGTGCAATTTCTTTATACCCAACAAGTCGGCGTTCTCCATGTGCAATAATATCGATTGTTTATACAGCGATTTTCATGAGCGGAGTAATTCTTCCAAAACATGACAAGTTCCTCTAACCAGCGTAGAATTTTACAACCGTGGGCTAATGAAACCTTACTCAACTAATCTACGTGCTGGTTCACCTAGGCAAGATACTAGAAACAATCATCTAATTGACAGAAATATTAGTTGCTGATGATTAATCGAGTTCTTGAACGACTCTACCGACTGAAAAATCTGGCTTTTTCGGTTCCGGAAGAGTTCCTGTTTGACCTCCCAAAAGCGTCACTACTTCCGACATTGTCGATCTATCTCCAGGATCTTCCTGGACACACAAGAGACCGATGTGAATGCACCTGACTATTTCAGCTGTTGAGCCTGATTCTGCTAGAGAAGGAACCGCGTGTTCCAACTCTCTTCCTTCAGTCCATAGAGTCCGCGCCTGCAAGATTAAATTCATTTTGGTGTAAAATAAATGATTGGCAGACACCGAGTATTTTCAGCTCAAAACACGATTAAAAGGCAAGCTTTGATTCTTGTAAAATGAATGTAATAAACTGGTTGGTTTGTCGAATGCATAGTTGAACTGTGACCCAATCGCTTCAGAAAGATGTCTTGCTTACACAGGTCTAGCTTCGTTGTCTTTTAACCCTTCGACAATCCCTCTCACTCGTCATACTTGCCTCACTCATGTGCCCCAACCGCATATACCATAACTAAGTCAAGTTTGAGTTTGACTCACCTGATAAATTGAAGCAAATCCTGTCATGGTTTTTCCTAGTAAATGATAGAGAAAACTCACCTTATTTCCCTTCATCATTGTCACGGCACACTAACAAATCTTCAGCACTACACTTTTTATAGTACTTATATTCGATGCCATTGAGTGTCCCTAGAAAAATAAGGTTCTTAAGCTCAAGTATATGCCTCATGTCTCTCATGTGCGCTCTACCCCATCATGCATCCGAGCCTGAATTGTTATTATCTCCACAACTTTGCAGGCTGCATTTTTCATCATCAGAAGACTACCGCCATTTTGAGTCTGATAAGTAATGAATAAGTTCTAATGAGGCGTCATATGATAAGAACACCCAAAATCTAGCACCTGTTTGTCTCCTAACGAGCTAGTAATCACACACAAGACAGTTTTCGCCTCACTAGTGCTCCCCTCGGCAACATTCACCACATTGCTTGTGTCATTTTGCCTACCACCTCCATTTAGCAGCTTTGTACAATCTCTCCTTGTACTCCTCTTCTCATGATTCAAAGCACTTCACGCGACCTTGTACTTTCTATGCCGCGACTTCAGCCTAGTTTTACCTCGGGTACTGGACCCCGATGTTCATCTCTACCTTGAATCACTAGTCCATGTTCTACATCCTATGCTTGTTTATGATCTCGCAACTTCTTCAGCCACTCTTATAGAGCAAGGTGGATTTTACCTCTTCTGAGGTTATCACAATATGACCTTATAATAGCGAATTATAAAGTGCTCCCATGACTTTAGTAGAAATGCCAACGACATCATGCCCTGTCTTTCATCAATTAGGGCTTCGTCAATATTCTTCAAATCCTTATGAGTTTGTTAAACTTATCTAAGTAGACACAGATGGAAGTACCTTTAGCAAATCAAAATTGAAAACATCATTTTCAACATGTATAGATGATAATTTAAACCCTTTGTTACATAAAGGGCCTAAAGTTTTACCCACAAAGCTACTACATTCTTCTTCTCAATTGCTTGTACTAACACATCACCCAATTGATTCAACAAGACTATACTCTTCCATTGCTCCATCAACTCTACCTTATAGCCTCTTTCATCATTTCTAACAATTCATCTTAATCATCCAACACCTTTGCTAAACTTTGGGCTGTTAATTGCACACGCATCTTAATGCCCCACAACCCAAAGTTGTTCTTGCTGTTAAAGTTCTCAATTTCAATTTTCGCTTCAGAAATAATTACAACAACATTTCACTATGATTAGACAAGTAAAAGCCCCAAATTAAATCTAAAAATCCTTGTCTTAGCTTTGATGCCAATTGCAGTAAAAATAATGTAGAAGCTAACCGATCTTGTAATTTAAGTCAAACGTGAGAGAGCAAAATTACTAGAGAAATCAATAAGAAACAATAAGGACACTAGAGATTTCCATAGTTTGGTTCGAGTGTAAGTACCTACTTCATGGGGAAAGCTTGCTGCCAAGAAATCCACTATAAATTTGGAGAGTACAAAGTTTACAATCGCTCAAATGTTCATTTGTTCCCAGCCACTGACTACAATCAAAGAACACCTCCAAGTGTTATCTCACAATCTCTTACGAAGAACTCACACAGAAAACTCATAGACATTAAATCGTAACATGCTTCTTGTTTGTTCTAGTTTGTGTCCATCGAGCAGAATTCTATTACCTATATGAACATGATAATTGAATCCAACATAATAAAACTTCTTTCAGAAAATCTACTCAAACCAAAAAACCTACCCAAATTAGGAAATTTACTTGAATCGGGTTTCTTTTACAAACTCAAGACGTTTTTAACATGAACATTTAAAATATGAAATTCGACATATTTAAAAGGTACAAAACGTGAGAAAAATGATAGTTTAAATCATGAAATTTCTTACGGGAAGGTCAGAAGAGATGTTTACAAGTCAAGACAAACCAGTGTGAGATTATCCTTAAAGTAAAAAACATTGAGGTCCATTCCGTAACGTATTAAAGCGACAGGAGTTGGATTAGTAACGCCATCGATATTCAAGGGACTTGCGAATAAGATGGACGGTGAGGATGGAAGAAGCATTAGCCCTCGTCTGAGTTCATTGAAAAGTCAATTGCGTGAGTTGCGTTCTTCTTTGGTTTCAACGGGGAGACTGGAAGAAGAAGAAGAAAAGTCAAGATATGTATCACATCCCAGTGATGTAGTTGTAGAGAGAGAGAGAGAGAGAGAGAGAGAGAGAGAGAGAGGAGATGGGGATGAAAGTGATTTTGGTGACGCTTAGAGCCTTGAATTTTCCATCAAATTACGGCAACGGAGTAATTCTTTTGATAGATTAAATTTGATCCATACGAATTTATGCAACAAGGCCTAAGTAAGGATTGTACCCATCCGAAACGTTTTGCTCGAGTTTCTCTTTTTTATTTGGGGAAGAAAATGAAATTGATTTTTTTTCTAGGTCGTTGTGTAACATTTTAGCCTAATTCACTCGAGGTATTACCCACTTTAATCCATCATATTCCGACACCACGGTTTTGTCTCTAGGAGGCCACCCATGTTGATAGGGTCCCAATTAGACACATTTAACATTGGATTTCGGATGCTAAACCATGATTCAATCAAACTGTGCCTCATATGAGTTAATTCCAAATTCACACATTTCTATGACGAATTTTCATCCAATGCATAATCTA